CTTTGATGACGTGAACAAAGCAGATGCAATGCTCCTTGAGTATGTTGTGAAGTGTCAGTCTTTGTATGGGGAGAGTGCAATGACATTCAATATGCATCTCCTGACCCCAGTCTGTGAAACTGTGGGGTCCATTGTGGGCACACTCCGCTTTTGTGTTTGAGAATGGAAATGGAAATCTCCTTAAAATGGTGCATGGAACCAAATGTGTTGCTCTTCAAGTGGTCAACAAGTTCTTGCTGCACAGAGCTGTACCACATCAAAGCAGTATGCAGTCAGTGACCGTGTCCTTGCATTTTCTCAGGAGATCAATAGTTATTCAAAAGTACAGAAATGTATACGCTACCAGGACACAACAGTTTTGGATGATGGAAAGATCAAACACCTCACACAACACGAAAGGCATGCCTTCCTCACAGCATTGATAGAACCACCGATTACAATTCTTCTTCACAACAGAATGACACACAAGGGTTTGGTCTACACAAGTAAAAACTATACCCGCGCCAAAAGACGCAATGATTATTGTGTAAGTCTGACAGATGGACGCTCTGGGGAGATGGAGCAGATAATATCATTGAGCTCAGAAGCAGGAGCAGAAATGGCCATGTTCTTCAAACCTTTGGACACACAGACTAGGTCCTTCCCCCTTCCACAGGGTTATGGTTTTGTGCCTCATATCTTTAGGGGAAATGAAGGTACCTTGATCCACTTGGTTCCAGTTGATGATCTTGAACAAAAATGTCTCCTTGTGAAGTCCGCTGATGGAATGTATCCATGCAACTTCCCAAACCTGTCTGAGAGGGATTACAATGCTAAATGAGTAATGAGCCGTCATCATGGTAAAACTGTCCGGTGTCTCTCTTTCCCCTGGACTCATTTTCTCCTTTTTCATGTTTAATTGTTCCTCTTTAAGGGGCCCTAATGTGCTAATTTCTTGTTAAATATTGTTTACACAATAACCTATATAACACACTACAGGAAAGAAAACCCCCAAAACGAACCACCCTCAATGAGACACTAAATACAAATGATCCTGAAAGTTTGCAAATGGTGTCCTTTTTAAGTAATTGTTGTATCATTCATAACACTCTGAGATTAATCACAATGTGGCCACCTGTCATCTCCACTAGTGACATTTAAATTAAAACAGTCTTATTTATAGAGCTTTGTATACTACTGAGTTTGTATGTTATGTCTCTTAAATAAATGGAATGGAAACATGCAAACAGGGTTTTGCATTGAAGCAATTGGATGGAAAATATAACACGTTTTTTGTTAACAACAGAGCTGGAAATGGAAGCAATACAAATATGACTTTAATGTTACTATGTGTTGCTTGTGTTCTGATGCACTTCACAATGCATGACGTGTTTTTTTACTAGCATCATCAACACTGAACTGAAAATATATGTATTTATTTTTGGTTTTGTACATTTAGGGTTAGGGTAGGTAAGTTTGAGAAACCGGCTCGAGATCGCTAGAATTTGAAAATACACAACCGGAGAAAATCTGCCACTTCCTCACAGAGCCCCTCCTCCAACACACACGAACGCGCACATGACCAATGAGGGCACGAGATAAGTTTGTGCACAGATGGAAGGCTGACAGGCAGGTAGGCCATCCAGGTACTTTAGCCGGGCCGGCTCAGATGATTGGTCGTGCTTTTTACAGTACTACAGCTTCCACAGATGAAATTTCTTTATGGATTTGTTGTCAAAGCACTTCAGATATTCATTGCTATCGGGATGTTAAGAGCATTCCATGGAATATAACAAAAAGTGTATCTCGAGCCGGTTTCTCAAACTTACCTACCCCACCTTTAAGTCTAAATAACTCAAAATTAAGTATTTCTATCGAAGAACATGTTCCCTATTTTAAAGGTAAGTCTTGTTCATAACCAATAAGCTAGTAGTTTGACTCTAATTGACCTGAACAGGTTCCCTATTCTAAAGTTGCCTCCTCTTCACACTTTGTAAATACATTATAGCACGCAACTACTGAAATTAACCTCAACAGCACATGAACAAAGTAGGCACACGTTCAAATATCTGTTTTATTGAACCACTAAAGAGAGGTTCAGACACATACCAAAACATGTCAAGTTTCTCCAAGGCTGAGAACACATGATATGCAGCCTGTATACTTCTTAATAAAAACTTTTATTAACAGATTTTATGTATTTGTAATTGTTAATTACATTTTTCTTGGGGCCTAAGATGAGAGTTGGCCTGCCTCGGTGGTGAACAAGGATGGCTCGAGCACTCGATCTTACAGCCGGTCCCAAAGAGCACCAACACTGAGCTTTATTGACACATGTATGGAAAAATCAGTGTTAAAATCAGATGCATGGTCCATTTCATGTTTTATATCGGTTTATGTGATCATAAGTCTGGCAGAACGATGTTAGCACTGAAAACAAGTGTTTTATATGTTGTGAAAAACTGCTTTTTTGTTGTGTTTTACAGATATTTGGGACATCGAATCAAGACTGTCTCCATGAAGAGCAGGTTTCACAGCTCTCTCAGTAAATATGGTATGCACTTATTGTTGTTATTGACTTTAATTATCATAAACACTGATTGGACGTCCTCATAAAAGGTGGTGAATTCCTGGCGTTGGTGAGAGCCTGAACTCATCACGGCACTTCCAGTCACACACACACACACACACACACACACACACACACACACACACCTCTGTCATTGCTGCGTTTTCCCGTATGTTACATGTACAGTAGGACACATACAGGAAGAGGTGTGTGTGTGTGTGTGTGTGTGTGTGTGTGTGTGTGTGTGTGTGTGTGTGTGTGTGTGTGTGTGTGTGTGTGTGTGTGTGTGTGTGTGTGTGTGTGTGTGTGTGTGTGTGTGTGTGTGTGTGTGTGTGTGTGTGTGTGTGTGTGTGTGTGTGTGTGTGTGTGTGTTGTGTGTGTGTGTGTGTGTGTGTGTGTGTGTGTGTGTGTGTGTGTGTGTGTGTGTGTGTGTGTGTGTGTGTGTGTGTGTGTGTGTGTGTGTGTGTGTGTGTGTGTGTGTGTGTGTGTGTGTGTGTGTGTGTGTGTGGGGGGTTCAGATGTGTTCTGTGTGATTCCCTTTAATAGCCGCACAGACAGAGAATCAGACGGTGTTTCATTAGTGATTCCTGTAATGTCAATAAAGTTGCGATGGTTAACAGGAAGAGTGTGGGAGCAAGGGGGGGGGGGGGGGGCAAGGCTATAGGGGGTGAGGAAGAGGAGGAGGAGGAGGAAGAGGAGGTATCATTATTCATGCACGGACAGGAGGAAAGATGTCTTTGTTACAGACAGTGAAAAGGAAGAGAAATGAAATGCGAAAATGAAAGGAATATACCATTACATGTTTTTATTCCATATTTTATTCACTCAAGATATAATAACTAAAAGGTGCATTGCACAGCGCTATAACAACAACACATATGTAAATAACAATATGCTTTAAATAAGTTACCTCATGATGCAATTTAAATAAAGATGATTGATGTTTAGAGTTAAATTCATCAATCTAATGATCCCTGATGACCATCAAACTAATATTATAACGTCAAATCAATAACTAGAATAAGAAAATTAACCTTCATTCAAAAAGAAATATCTATACTTGTAATTAATCAATGTAAAGCCTATTGTGCTATATTATTGTGAACATGTGTTCTCCATTTAACCATCAAACCTGTGCATATCAGTGTCTGTTTGTGGGGACTCAGCGCCACCTGCTGGACACACACACACACACACACACACACACACACACACACACACACACACACACACACACACACACACACACAGCTTCTACACCAGAGGGAGCCGCTGCATCACTCTTTCATAGCTCAGTTTTAAAATCAGTTGCAAGTTGAATTTAACGGTGTTTGATACTTTCTTGATATGTTTCTTAAATTCAAGTTCGAGTCCAAGATACTTGAAGTTAGTGTGTTTAGTGTGTGTGAGAGGAAGAGGAGAGGAGGAGGAGCAGGAGGAGGAACAGAGTGACTTCATAGACGCTGCTTGTTCTAAATCTTTATTGAACGTATCGATCACTACAGTCTTCAGGATCAGCTTTAATACGTTGCTTCAAGAAAACTTTATTACAGACACAATCAGTGAGACACACGGTAACCAATGAGAAGCCTCCATTTAAAACACCATGTGACCCAGGACAGGAAGTGGTCTCCTCCTACAGAGGACACAGAGGACACAGAGACACTGAGGAGTCAGGGCAGACTGCAAACCCAGCGTAGAGAGGTTCAGTGAATGTGGCTCTGAAGGTGTGGAGGAGGATCAGTGAGGAGGAGGAGACTCTGTAGAAGGAGAGAGAGCCAGCAGCATGATCCAGATACACTGCTACTCTACCAGAGGAGGAGGAGGAGGAGGAGGAGGAGGAGGGGGAGGAGGAGGAGGAGGAGGAGGAGGAGGAGATGTCTGTTCTTCTCTTATTGTGATAGACAGCGTAACCTCTATCAGAGCAGTCCAGTCTCCAGGACTGATCATTCTTTCCAAACTCACATTCCTCTCCGACTCCTCTCCTCCTGATTCCTCTGTAAGTCACTGCTATCTGAACCCCTCCTCTCCTCTCGACCTCCCAGTAACAGCGACCAGTCAGAGCTTCTCTGCACATCAGCTGAGCCCTGCGCTCAAACCTCTCTGGTGATCAGGATATGGCTGCACATGTCACCTTCCTGTTGTCCTCAGACAGTTTGAGGAACCTGCTCACTGTCATAATTATTTGATGCTGCAAGATAGAGAGGCGGAGGAGGAGGAGGAGGAGGAGGAGGAGAGGGGAGGAGGAGGAGGAGAGGAGGAGGAGGAGAGGAGGAGGAGAGGAGAGGAGAGGAGGAGGAGGAGGAGAGGAGGAGGAGGAGGAGGAGAGGAAGAGGAGAGAGGAGAGGAGCAGGAGGAGGAGAGGAGAGGAGGCGGTAGAGGCAGGAGCCGAGGATGGAAGAGGAACAGGAGGAGGAGGAGGAGGAGGAACAGATTGACTTCATAGACGCTGCTTGTTCTAAATCTTTATTGAACGTATCGATCACTACAGTCTTCAGGATCAGCTTTAATACGTTGCTTCAAGAAAACTTTATTACAGACACAATCAGTGAGACACACGGTAACCAATGAGAAGCCTCCATTTAAAACACCATGTGACCTAGGACAGGAAGTGGTCTCCTCCTACAGAGGACACAGAGGACACAGAGACACTGAGGAGTCAGGGCAGAACCCAAACCCAGCGTAGAGAGGTTCAGTGAATGTGGCTCTGAAGGTGTGGAGGAGGATCAGTGAGGAGGAGGAGACTCTGTAGAAGGAGAGAGAGCCAGCAGCATGATCCAGATACACTGCTACTCTACGAGAGGAGGAGGAGGAGGAAGAGGAGGAGGAGGAGGGGGAGGAGGAGGAGGAGGAGGAGGAGTAGGAGGAGGAGGAGGAGGAGGAGATGTCTGTTCTTCTCTTATTGTGATAGACAGAGTACCCTCTATCAGAGCAGTACAGAATCCAGGACTGATCATTCTCTCCAAACACACATTCCACTCCGCCTCCTCTCCTCCTGATTCCTCTGTAAGTCACTGCTATAATAACCCCTCCTCTCCACTCGACCTCCCAGTAACAGCGACCAGTCAGAGCTTCTCTGCACATCAGCTGAGCCCACTCAAACCTCTCTGGATGATCAGGATATGGCTGCTTCTCCTCCACACATGTCACCGTCCTGTTGTCCTCAGACAGTTTGAGGCCTCTGCTCACTGTGTTTGAGTCCAGGGTGAGTCCACAGGAATCTGAGGAGAGACACAGACAGCAGTTTATCACCAGACTCACCTGAAGGCTTTCCTCTCTGTCAGTGATCTTTCTATAAAGCTTCAAGAGGTCATGTTCTAATGAATAAATAGCACCTCCATCATCTGTGTCTCTAGAGCAGGGGTCTCCAACCTTTTTTAGGGTGAGGGCTACTTTCAAAAAATAAAACAAGTCGTGAGCTACTTTTACTCCTCTTTTTGTTGTTTTTTGCAGTGTATATATTTAGCACATTTTAACATCATGACATGCTGACCTTTAACCTTTGTGTCTGTTTGGGTCTGTGGGACCCCTTCAGTGTTTACTCAAAGAACAGGAGGGGTGTTAGATAGATATAGAGTTGTAGTAAGTAGATAGAGTTCGCTATGATTTAGGTTTCGTTTATGCATAGGGTCGATTCTTTTAATTACATTTCCTTTTTTGTTTTGTGTATTTTATACATTTTGGATTTGCTTGGCGAGCTATTTTTAGAACATGCCATGCGGGCGACTCACGTTGCCCCTGCGAGCGACTAAGTGCCCGCGGGCACCGTGTTGGCTACCCCTGCTCTAGAGAGAAGCTGACTGATCCACACTTACACTTCCTCACACCTGCTCTGAACCTCTGCTCTCCACCACGGTCCAGCCTGGAGGAAGAAACACATGTGAGAAACAGAACAGCGTATTGTTAGAATAAAGTATTTATCAATGTTCATCATAATAATAAATCCTATGTGTCCGAAGGGAGCAGGAGGGAGCAGATGCTTATTGATCCCCCTCACTTCCTGCTGATCAATGATTATCCTTTCAATCATCTCTGAAAGTTATTCCTACTTACATATTTACATTTATACATTTACAATCATTTCTCCTCTTCAATCTCCTTTCTTCATTCTCATACTTTCCCAAAGAAGTGTTTCTGTGCATCCTTCAAAGTGAATGCTATGTGTGCTTTGTTTGAACTCCTGCTCCAAGCCGCTCCATGAAACCCCCCCCCACAGATTGTTCTGCTCTTCTCAGAGTTCTTCTGACCTTGAGTTGTTTCAGATGTAGATCTCCTCTCAGATGATACCCCCCCCTCTCTGTCTATGAACAACGTCTGTAGTGTCCTAGGAAGTAGATGATCTCTTGCTCTGTACATGATGCAGTTTGAAATGTAACCAGATCAGTAAACTTCAGTGTGTGTGACTTCAAGAATAATGAATGAGTGTGTTCAAGATATCCAACATTATTGATTACTCTTAGAGCCCTTTTTTGTAATGTGCATAACGGCTGCAGGTTGGTTTTGTGTTTCCCCAGATCTCCACACAGTAACTCAGACATGGAGATATGAGTGTATCGCACAGAGTATATCATGATGTGATATGAGTGTATCACACAGAGTATATCATGATGTGATATGAGTAGGGATGGGTATCGTTAAGGTTTTAACGGTACTACTACTTTTATCGATACCGCTTATCGGTCCGGTCTTTTAACGGTACTCTTATCGGTTCTTTTGGAGAGAAAAATGAGGTAAACGAACTATATGTTGTATGTCAGGGACTACGAATGGAAATTAGCTCAAAGCTAAAATCCGGCATATTTACCCTTGAAGCATTATTTGTCTAAAGTGTTCATTAATGTGCATTGTCCCTATTCAAATAAACGATTAAATGACAAATGAAAATAAACAAATTGTGAACAAAACTAACATTGCTTTTTATTTAAATTAAATACATAATATTTCACATCAAAAGAAACAACAACGTTTTAACAAATGGTATTAAATAATGTGATGACAGAACTGTGAACAGAATGGCTGAAACTTTAACAAACTAAATAACTCAGTTACCTCTAATCATCAACCCATGTTTTTGTATCATTGAGTTAGCTCCGTGTGTTGCTGCTAGCATACATAACACCTGACGTGGAAACGTTACTCGTGGATGGGGACAGACAGTCAAACCCGGTGCATTCCTCCGTCTGAATGTGGAGCACTTTTGCTAAATGTTTAGACAAATTGCTCGTGTTACCGCCCTGACATGCTAAACTCTTATTGCACTTTAGGCAACGAGCGAGACGGGTAAAGTTGAACCACACCTCGGAGCGCGTTCTCTCCGCCATCTCCTCCGTGTGTGTGTGTTGCTGCATGTAGCAGCTGCGTGTGTGTAAACTGCCCCGCCCCCTCGAACACAGACGGGGGAGAGAGATCTCTCGTCTGGATTGGAGAGATCGAAAATACTAAAAATGACGCATTTTGCAGTCTTCTTGCGTATTAGAAACGGAGTTGGCGACACTAAAACTGCAATATAATGTTTGTGTAGCAATAATACACATGACATATTTTTTAGATGTCTCCAGTACCGATAAAAAGACCGATAACGTCGGAGATTAACGGTACCACGGTCTTTAATAATTCAGCCCCGGGGCCCGTTTAATACCGGGGCTCGGTACCCATCCCTAGATATGAGTGTATCACACAGAGTATATCATGATGTGATATGAGTGTATCACACAGAGTATATCATGATGTGATATGAGTGTATCACAGAGAGTGTATCATGATGTGATATGAGTGTATCGCACAGAGTATATCATGATGTGATATGAGTGTATCGCACAGAGTATATCATGATGTGATATGAGTGTATCACAGAGTATATCATGATGTGATATGAGTGTATCACACAGAGTATATCATGATGTGATATGAGTGTATCACACAGAGTATATCATGATGTGATATGAGTGTATCACAGAGTATATCATGATGTGATATGAGTGTATCACAGAGTATATCATGATGTGATATGAGTGTATCACACAGAGTATATCATGATGTGATATGAGTGTATCACAGAGAGTATATCATGATGTGATATGAGTGTATCACACAGAGTATATCATGATGTGATATGAGTGTATCACACAGAGTATATCATGATGTGATATGAGTGTATCACAGAGTATATCATGATGTGATATGAGTGTATCACAGAGTATATCATGATGTGATATGAGTGTATCACACAGAGTATATCATGATGTGATATGAGTGTATCACAGAGAGTATATCATGATGTGATATGAGTGTATCACACAGAGTATATCATGATGTGATATGAGTGTATCACAGAGTGTATCATGATGTGATATGAGTGTATCACACAGAGTATATCATGATGTGATATGAGTGTATCACAGAGTATATCATGATGTGATATGAGTGTATCACAGAGTATATCATGATGTGATATGAGTGTATCACAGAGTATATCATGATGTGATATGAGTGTATCACAGAGTATATCATGATGTGATATGAGTGTATCACAGAGTATATCATGATGTGATATGAGTGTATCACACAGAGTATATCATGATGTGATATGAGTGTATCGCACAGAGTATATCATGATGTGATATGAGTGTATCACAGAGTATATCATGATGTGATATGAGTGTATCACAGAGTATATCATGATGTGATATGAGTGTATCACACAGAGTATATCATGATGTGATATGAGTGTATCACAGAGAGTATATCATGATGTGATATGAGTGTATCACACAGAGTATATCATGATGTGATATGAGTGTATCACACAGAGTATATCATGATGTGATATGAGTGTATCACAGAGTGTATCATGATGTGATATGAGTGTATGTATGAACATAAATGCATTAAAGTATTCTTTAATGCAGTTATGTTTTCTTCAGTTCTCAATCTTTTGTATTTGAAATGGCTGGAGACTTTAGGTTTCTTATAACTGCAGTGATAGACAATAAGAACAGGTGAATGATCACTTTGCAGTCCATGTTGATGTATTTTTCGCTGTTTTCTCTGGAATCGGGCCTTTCTGGCGATCTCAGCATTTCTTTTAGTGAGGTGTTCATTCATATATACATCCGAGCCCTTAAGCCGTCTTCCCTGTTTCAGAAGTTCAGTTTTATGTTTTCTGTTGGCAAACCTTATTATTATTGCCGGTTTATCTGTTTTATTTCTGTGTGGTAGCGGGTGACAGGCCTCGATGTTGTCGCTGTCAATCTCTATTCCCTTGGAGTTGAGGAAGGCCGTCACCTGTAGCTCCACAGATGTAGCATCCTCCTCACTTGTGTCCCCTCCGGTCATCCTCATCGCCGCCTGGGCGTATGAGCGGGGTTTCGTCTCCAGTCCAGTGATTATGATGTTGTGGATTCGGGTGTATTGCTCCAGCTCATCCACCCGATTTTCCAGCAAGAATATCCTTTTTTCCTTTTCGGAGTTTTGTAGCCTCAGGGCTTTAACTTCCTCCACCAGGCTCATAATGTTATCTGTTGCTGTCTTACAACAGATACCTCCTCCGTCAACATGTCTAACGATCGTTTAATGTCGTCAACCTCCTCAGCACGCGGAGGAATCTTTTTTGGTGGCATTGCGTTTTGTTTAGGATTATTATATAACGGAGAGAAAGAGGAAATGAGTGTTTCCGTCTCTCTGCGGATCCTTCTGCTTGTTGTGACACAGACTACTTTCACTTCCAGGTCTGTGTTAAGAACAAAGCTCAAAGCTCATAATGTGCAGAAAACCAAAACTGTGGTCCAAACAGTAGCAATCCTTGTTGTATGTGCTTTCCTGCTAAACACCAAAGAAGCACATGCATTCCTCCTGACCAAGACAACGTGCACATATGAAGCTGATTCAACAAAACTAAAGGACATCCCTTCTTTGCCACTTCCTCGGCTAGCTTGAGCCCTCAGTTTACCGGGTCGCTCATTAAAGCACTTCATGACTGACAACGTGGCGAATATAATGTAGTCAAACTCATCCATTTTTACAGATTCGCAGATTTTGATGCTTTGCGTCCCGGTCAGCTGGGATAGATCGCCGAGATGCCGACTGGCAGAGACACTGGCTGCCGAAAACAAACAAAACCGAACCAACCTCCCCAAGTTTAACGAAACAAAAAACAGACAAACAAACAACTAAGTGAAACAATTAATAAGCACAAAAATAACCTACGTCAAATGAACGCATATTAAAGAGTCCGGATCGTCCCTCTGGGAATCTAAAATGTCAAACAGAATCTCATCTCAACACATTTAGCAGTTGGTGAGATATCTCAGTCAGAACCAAATCCATAAACTGACCATCATTACCCTCCCTAGAGCCAGGAAACCAGTGGTTCTGATGTTTGGACTGAATGGCTGTTTCCATGTAATAAGACTTGAAGGTTAACTCACTGCAGTGAACATAATCAAGGGAAATGAGACGTCCTTCATGATGGAAGACCAGAGATGAAGGAGATGAAATTAGAAAAATAGGAGCAAGTCAGTCTGTCCATACCTGAGTGTCTCCAGACTGCAGAGTGGATCCTCCCGTCCAGCAGACAGCAGCTTCTCTCCTGAGTATCCTGGATGATTGTAGCTCAGGTCCAGCTCTCTCAGATGGGAGGGGTTGGAGCTCAGAGCTGAAGCCAGAGAAACACAGCCTTCCTCTGTGACCAGACAGCCGGACAGACTGGAATCAGGGAATACAGTAAACTCAGTGTTCTTAAAAGTCACCTCAGCAGGAAAATCATACAGAGGTGGACCATCTTCATCAACGTGAACAAAAAGCTGGATGAAAATAATTGAACTGCTTGAAAATAAAAAGCTGAACTCTGACCTGAGAGTCTCCAGTTCACAGTGTGGACTCTTCAGTCCAGCAGATACCAGCTTCACTCCTGAATCCTTCAGGTCGTTGTTACCCAGGTCCAGCTCTCTCAGACTAGAGGACTGGGAGCTGAGGACTGAGGACAGAGCTTCACAGCTTCTCTCCGACAGGTTACAGCCAGTTAACCTTGAAAGAAATGAATGAATATGACAACATTCCTTTAATATTAAATGTGATTGAGCGCAAAGTTTCAACATACAATCTTTTCTAGTTCTTTTGTCAAATGATACCATCTGTTTGTCTGTGCATGTTTGGGTTGGTCAATCAGTCAGATACATTGAGATGAAGATAAGTGACACCATCTGTCTTCAAATATAATCAGATTGTTATCATGGTTTTGTGGTTTATTGTTTTGAAGAAGAAAAATAAACAAAAAACCGAAGGAGAATCGAAATGTATTATTATTCTAATTTGATAAAACTGGAAATGAGTCGATAGAAATGGCTGAACAAAACCACTGACTGTTAACATATCAGCTGAACTCTGACCTGAGAGTCTTCAGTTCACAGTGTGGACTCTCCAGTCCAGCAGATACCAGCTTCACTCCTGAATCCTTCAGGTCGTTGTTACTCAGGTCCAGCTCTCTCAGACTAGAGGACTGGGAGCTGAGGACTGAGGACAGAGCTTCACAGCTTCTCTCCGACAGGTTGCAGCCAGTTAACCTTGAAAGAAATGAATAAATATGACAAAATTCCTTTAATATTAAATGTGATTGAGCGCAAAGTTTCAACATACAATCTTTTCTAGTTCCTTTGTCAAATGATACCATCTGTTTGTCTGTGCATGTTTGGGTTGGTCAATCAGTCAGATACATTGAGATGTAGATAAGTGACGCCATCTGTCTTCAAATATAATCAGATTGTTATCATGGTTTTGTGGTTTATTGTTTTGAAAAAGAAAAATAAACAAAAAACCGAAGGAGAATCAAAATGTATTATTATTCTAATTTGATAAAACTGGAAATGAGTCGATAGAAATGGCTGAACAAAACCACTGACTGTTAACATATCAGCTGAACTCTGACCTGAGAGTCTCCAGTTCACAGTGTGGACTCTCCAGTCCATCAGACAGCAGCTTCACTCCTGAATCCTTCAGGTCGTTGTTACTCAGGTCCAGCTCTCTCAGACTAGAGGACTGGGAGCTGAGGACTGAGGACAGAGCTTCACAGCTTCTCTCCGACAGGTTGCAGCCAGTTAACCTTGAAAGAAATGAATACATATGACAACATTCCTTTAATATTAAATGTGATTGAGCGCAAAGTTTCAACATACAATCTTTTCTAGTTCCTTTGTCAAATGATACCATCTGTTTGTCTGTGCATGTTTGGGTTGGTCAATCAGTCAGATACATTGAGATGAAGATAAGTGACGCCATCTGTCTTCAAATATAATAAGATTGTTATAATGGTTTTGTGGTTTATTGTTTTGAAGAAGAAAAATAAACAAAAAACCGAAGGAGAATCGAAATGTATTATTATTCTAATTTGATAAAACTGGAAATGAGTCGATAGAAATGGCTGAACAAAACCACTGACTGTTAACATATCAGCTGAACTCTGACCTGAGAGTCTCCAGAGTACAGTGTGGACTCTCCAGTCCATCAGACAGCAGCTTCACTCCTGAATCCTTCAGGTCGTTGTTACTCAGGTCCAGATCTCTCAGACTAGAGGACTGGGAGCTGAGGACTGAGGACAGAGCTTCACAGCTTCTCTCTGACAGGTTGCAGCCAGTTAACCTTGAAAGAAATGAATGAATATGACAACATTCCTTTAATATTAAATGTGATTGAGCGCAAGGTTTCAACATACAATCTTTTCTAGTTCTTTTGTCAAATGATACCATCTGTTTGTCTGTGCATGTTTGGGTTGGTCAATCAGTCAGATACATTGAGATGAAGATAAGTGACGCCATCTGTCTTCAAATATAATCAGATTGTTATAATGGTTTTGTGGTTTATTGTTTTGAAGAAGAAAAATAAACAAAAAACCGAAGGAGAATCGAAATGTATTATTATTCTAATTTGATAAAACTGGAAATGAGTCGATAGAAATGGCTGAACAAAACCACTGACTGTTAACATATCAGCTGAACTCTGACCTGAGAGTCTCCAGTTCACAGTGTGGGCTCTCCAGTCCATCAGACAGCAGCTTCACTCCTGAATCCTTCAGGTCGTTGTTACTCAGGTCCAGATCTCTCAGACTAGAGGACTGGGAGCTGAGGACTGAGGACAGAGCTTCACAGCTTCTCTCCGACAGGTTACAGCCAGTTAACCTTGAAAGAAATGAATAAATATGACAACATTCCTTTAATATTAAATGTGATTGAGCGCAAGGCAGTGTTGTAGTCAAGTCACCAATTCACGAGTCCAAGTCACTCTCGAGTCACCACTCTTTGAGTCCGAGTCCAAGTCCGAGTCACCTAGGGAGAGTCGTAGTCGAGTCCGAGTCCAAGTCCGAGTCACCCAAGGAGTGTCCGAGTCGAGTCCGAGTCCGAGTCATCATTACCTGTGTTTGAGTCCGAGTCCAAGTCCGAGTCACCCAAGGAGTGTCCGAGTCGAGTCCGAGTCCGAGTCATCATTACCTGTGTTCGAGTCCGAGTCACCCAAGGAGTGTCCGAGTCGAGTCCGAGTCCGAGTCATCATTACCTGTGTTCGAGTCCGAGTCAAAGTCCGAGTCACCCAACGAGTGTCCGAGTCGAGTCCGGGTCACAAGTCTTCATGTATTAATCTTTGTGGATATATGTGTTGAAATGTAGCTGCTCCTCTACATTGCTTTTATCCTGTCATGTTATACTAATCTGTCTATTGAACTGCTGTGAAGCCAGTTTGGCTACAATTCTTGAAATAGTACTATACAAATAGAAAGCGTATTACTAATATTAATATTATTATTATTAGTATTATTATTGTAAATGACCTATAATATGTCTAACTATATTTAAAATGAGTTACCTTTTAGAGAAGTGATTATATTTGTATGCCAATATTTTCCTATGGTAAAGTTTTCGTTTTGCACTTTTATTTTGATAGTAATAAGATCAGGACTCTTATTTTGAAGGAACTTTTACCGGTTAAATTGGTTTACTGATGAAGATTAAGCCCCAGAAAGCACATGGCTACTTAGCATGCAAAATGACGTCATTCTGTATGTTAAGTAGCCATGTGCTTTCGTGTTATCGGCTGAATCACGTTACTCTGATGATAGTGTTCAAGACAGCCTATATGTCTGAACTCGATCCTTAGAGTAATGTGTTACGGAGTCTTCTCTTCAATATTGTTTCCACATAGAGCATTTTGCGCTGCTCTTTTCCAATGTGGAAGCAGAATGTGTGAAAGCATACAGCACGATGCGGGGTGTGTCTCTGGACATCTCTAGACTGGAATAGCGGGGCCCAGTACGTGAACTCGCCTTGCAGGTGCACACGCAGGGATAGAGGACATCAGACTCCAGAGAAAACTTGCTCGAGTCCGAGTCCAAGTCGGAGCGCCAATGTACAAGTCGAGTCCGAGTCATCGTGGGCGGGAAATTCACGAGTCCGAGTCCAAGTGTACGCCAGAATTCACGAGTCCGAGTCCGAGTCCAAGTCATCGTGCGCGAGAATTCACGAGTCCAAGTCCGAGTCACGTCAATCAGTGCGCAAGTCCGAGTCGAGTCACGAGTCCCGAAAATCGACACTGGAGTCCGACTCGAGTCCGAGTCCAGGACTCGAGTACTCCATCTCTGGCGCAAGGTTTCAACATACAATCTTTTCTAGTTCCTTTGTCAAATGATACCATCTATTTGTCTGTGCATGTTTGTGTTTGTCAATCAGTCAGATACATTGAGATGTAGATAAGTGACGCCATCTGTCTTCAAATATAATCAGATTGTTATCATGGTTTTGTGGTTTATTGTTTTGAAGAAGAAAAATAAACAACAAACCGAAGGAGAATCGAAATGTATTATTATTCTAATTTGATAAAACTGGAAATTAGTTCTATAGAAATGGCTGAACAAAACCACTGACTGTTAACATATCAGCTGAACTCTGACCTGAGAGTCTCCAGTTCACAGTGTGGACTCTCCAGTCCAGCAGATACCAGCTTCACTCCTGAATCCGGCAGGTCGTTGTTACTCAGGTCCAGCTCTCTCAGACTAGAAGAGTGGGAGCTGAGGACTGAGGACAGAGCTTCACAGCTTCTCTCTGACAGTTTGCAGCCACTCAGCCTGGGGAAAGATCAGCAGTGAACACAAAGAGTTTTATTCTCATGTCTCAACCTGTTCCTAGTTAATGTAGTTTGATCTCCACTTACAGAGCTTTCCTGGAGGCTTTGACCACTGGCAGCAGCTTCAGAAGAGCCTCCTCTGAAGCTGAGTATTTCTGCAGGTCAAACTCTTCCAGATCATCTTCTGATGACAGTAAGATGAAGACCAGAGCTGACCACTGAGCAGGAGACAGTTTATCTGTGGAGAGACTTCCTGATCTCAGGGACTGTTGGATCTCCCCCACTAGAGAACGATCATTCAGTTCATTCAGACAGTGGAACAGGTTGATGCTTTTCTCCGGAGACGGGTTCTTTCTTATCTTTTTCTTGATGTATTTCACTGTTTTCTGGTTGATCTCTGAGCTACTTCCTGTCTGCGTCAGCAGGTCGGGTAGGAGTTTCTGATTGGTCTGCAGTGAAAGACCCAGGAGGAAGCGGAGGAACAAGTCCAGGTGTCCGTTTGGACTCTGTAAGGCCTTGTCCACAGCACTCTGGTAGAGATCTGTTAGTTTAGGTTTGGGTCTGAAGACTTTAGGCAGCCAGGAGTTTGTTGGTTCTTCTTTCAGCAGGTTGACTCCAGAGTTGATGAAGGTCAGATGGACATGAAGAGCAGCCAGAAACTCCTGAACGCTCAGATGGACGAAGCAGAACACTGTGTTCTTGTACGTTCCTCTCTCCTCTCTAAAGACATGTGTGAACACTCCTGAGTACACTGAGGCTGCTCTGATATCGATGCCACACTCTCTCAGGTCGGACTCATAGAAGATCAGGTTGCCTTTCTGCAGCTGCTCAAAAGCCAGTTTTCCCAGAGACTCCATCATCTTCATCCTGCTCTCTGGACTCCTGTGTGGATCTGTCTCAGCTCCTCCATCATACTTGACGTTCACTTTGGACTGAACCACCAGGAAGTGGATGTACATCTCAGTCAGGGTCTTGGGCAGCTCTCCTCCCTCAGTTTTCAACATGTCCTCCAGAACTGAAGCAGAGATCCAGCAGAAGACTGGGATGTGGCACATGATGTGGAGGCTTCGTGAGGTCTTGATGTGGGAGATGATGGTGCCGGCCAGCTTCTGATCTGTGAATCTCTTCCTGAAGTACTCCTCCTTCTGTGGGTCAGTGAACCCTCGGACCTCTGTCACCATGTCCACACACTCAGTGATCTGATTGGCTGCTGCAGGTCGTGTGGTTATCCAGAGGCAAGCAGAGGGAAGCAGCTTCCCCCTGATGAGGTTTGTCAGCAGCCGATCCACTGAGGTGGACTCTGAGACATCAGTCAGGATGTCAGTGTTGTGGAAGTCCAGAGGAAGTCGACACTCATCCAGACCGTCAAAGATGAACACAACCGGGAACTGATCAAACATGCAGATTCCTGCCTCTCTGGTTTCAGAGAAGAAGTGATGAACAAGTTCCACCAAGCTGTACTTGTTCTCTTTCACCACATTCAGCTCTCTGAAGGTGAATGGAAATATGAACTGGATGTCCTGGTTGGCTTTGCCTTCAGCCCAGTCCAGAGTGAACTTCTGTGTTAAGACTGTTTTCCCAATGCCAGCCACTCCCTTTGTCATCACTCTGATTGGTGTACCTCTTTCAGTTGAGCCTTTAAAGAGGTCTTCTTGTCTGATGGGTGTTTCTGATCTGCCTGGTTTACTGGATGCTTGTTCGATCTGTCTGATCTCATGTTCCTTGTTGACCTCTCCGGTGTGTCCCCTGGTGATGTAGATCTCCGTGTAGATTTTATGTAGGGATTCAGATTTTTCCATAAATTTGATATTTTCATATTTTTTCTTCAGGTTTGATTTGAGTTCACCTTGGCACTTAGTGAGAATATCTGAATGAATAAGAAAGACATTTACACAAAAGACACATCAAAATATTTCCTTCTAATTGGACCCATTTCTGACAAAATAGCAGGTTATTTTCCTTATATCAAGTCACTGGATCGTGTTGCATAATTATCTGTACATTGTCCAGTATAAGTTCCACCCCACAGAGAACCATCAGTTTTCCCACAGAGAACCATGGCCCTAAACCTGACTGACTCTTATTCCTGCTGGCGGGAGATGAGGCATGATACCAGCAGATCCCAACACCCACTGAGGGTGTGGACACAGCTCTCTCTCCAGTTATACAGGAAGTGGATGGCTCTTACTGTGTCGCAGTATACTCCTGCAGTAGCCTACCATCTACAAGATACCCTGGGGGGTCACAGTAATAACCCGTCCCTTCCTCCCCAAGTCATGTTGGACGGCAAATGATACCTCCTTCCACCTGTAGGGGTAGTAACTAGAGAATGCAATTCCTGAAGAAATTGCTAGTGGGAATGCTTTATGCTGAAAAGCTGACGCTAAACTGCTATGCTGAAATGTAATGTGTAAGAAGAAAGTGAAGAATTTAGATTGAAATGATACATGAACACTGGGGGCTTGAATGTGTGATGAGAGAAGAAAAGAAAGTAAAAAGGCACTTTTCACTGAAGTTATGAGAAAACCTCAGAGACAGAGACAAAGGAAGAAAGGCTTTCTATGCTATCAAAAAGTCTTCAAATATAGATATACCTGTTAGAATCTGGCTCACAATATTCAATTCAATAATAGAACCAATCATACTGTATGGTAGCGAAGTGTGGGGTCCCCTTGGAAATCAAGACTTTGATAAATGGGACAAACACCCAATAGAAACCCTACATGCGGAGATATGCAAGAGCATCCTGAGAGTCCACAGGAACACCCCCAACAATGGATGCCGAGCTGAGCTAGGCCAATTCCCCCTTTTAATTAGGTTACAAAAAAGAGCAGTCAAATTCTACAACCACCTAAAAACCAGTGATCCTAACTCCTACCATTACAAAGCCCTCCATTGCCAAGAGGAGAACATAGAGAGGAGTCCCCTCAACCAGCTGGTGCTGAGGCTCACCTCCTCTAACAGGACAAGGCCTCAACCAGCTGGTGCTGAGGCTCACCTCCTCTAACAGGACAAGGCCTCAGGACAGCCCTCACACAATCTGGCCCAACCAAATCATAGCTAAAGCAAAATAAAAGTACATCAACTATTGGACATGTACCACAAAAACCCAAAACAAACTTCAATGCTATTTGGCTCTAAACAGACAGTACACGGTGGCAAACTATCTGACCGCCGTGACTGATCCCAAACTGAGGAAGACATTAACAATGTACAGACTCAGTGACCACAGCCTGGCCGTAGAGACTGGCCGACACAGACCTGGCTGCCTAGAGAAGAGAGGCTGTGTCAGCTCTGTCCACAGAGACAGGTGGAGACAGACAGGTGAGAGACAGACAGAGAGAGAGAGACAGGTGAGAGAGAGACAGGTGGAGACAGACAGGTGAGAGACAGACAGAGAGAGAGAGGTGGAGACAGAGCAACACTTCCTGCTGCACTGTCAAACATACAAAGACATTAGAACAAAGTTATTTACAAAGATAACATGTAAACTCCAAGATTTTTAATAACTGTCTGACCAGAATAAAATGCAACATGTACTTGGAGAAAATAGTGCCAGCAGCATAGAAGCAGGGAAATATGTGAGCACATGTCACAGCCTAAGAGACAGCAACAACACATAACAGCTGTTCCTCACAGCTCACTCTGATCACTCCTCTACTTCATGGGTCTCTTTTCTTTCTTTCTTTTTACATTTGATACTTGAGGTTTTGTAATAATATATTGTTGTAAATTGTTTAATGAATGAATTGTATTTGTATTTTTATTTCTTTTCTTATCATATCACTATTGAATTGTATTATCCTTGACGCTTTGGCAATATTGTTCACCTGACATTCATGCCAATAAAGCTTATTGAATTGAAATTGAATTGAATTGAGAGAGAGAGAGAGAGAGAGAGAGAGAGAGAGAGAGAGAGGAGAGAGAGAGAGATAGCGAGAGAGAGAGAGAGAGAGAGAGAGAGAGAGAGAGAGAGAGAGAGAGAGAGAAGAGAGAGAGAGACTTTAAGATAAAGTCAGAAATCATTCCAATGTGTAGAGGACAGCAAAAAAAAACAAAAACAGTTGAAAAGAGTGATCAGTAAAATCAGCATGAAAATAGAAAGAAAGAATGCTAACTAGAGAGAGAGAGAGAGGTGTGTGTGTGTATGGCATCATGGCGGCCACGCGTGAGTGGTGAGAGGAACTCGCTCACCTTTTTTGAACATCTAAGCTCACATACACCCGTTGTAACTGCCATCGTTATTGCAGTGGGGATATAAGATGCACTGGACGCTTTTGGTACACAATGGTGTCTCGTTACCCCACGCTGAGATTGGCCTTTAAACAAGCCCTGAACAGCGGGCGAGTCTACAAACAACGCCTGAACGTCTGCGACCCAAGCCCAACACCGGCCGGAGATGTTCGTGTAGACTTGGAGCAATATGCGCGATTATTGTCAGATTGTGAGTGGACTACTTTCCAGAGAGATGAAAGAGCGTACAGGGGGACACTGGACACAAAACTGCTCCAGGTAAGATCTAACTTTGCTGTTACTCACGGAGGCGCAGAGAAGTGGGGCAGGCTGGTGACAATCCTGACCAGCGCTTTTTTCATTAATGGAATATTCTCCGCGACGCAACGAAACTCGCGTCCGTACGGATTCCAGCTTCTGAAATATGTCGCCAGAATCCTGAAGAAATTCCCTCTTTCTGCCGACTTCCCGGTGGACCTTACACCTGACTCGCTGACACCATGGATAGAAATGCAGCTTCACTTCATCCGTGAGAGAATACAACCAGCGCTGCGGGCCGCCGGGACAGAGACACTACGGCAGCAAAGGAAAGTTTCTAGGAACAAGCTGGCATATCTCTGGCAACACCGCAAATCAAAGGCAATCGATATCATTTTAAATAACATCTGTTTTCCGGAAACCCCGCCCACTGTTAGTGATACAGCCAATGTGTATAACTACTATAAAGCCAAATGTCAAACTGTGCCGAGGGCTACTCCCCTGGCCACGCCCCCTTGGTACAATTTCATTGACAGAATAGAGCCAGGCTATTTCCCAGATACCCAGGATTTTACAACTGAGGTGGATGCAGTTCTGGCTTCTCTTCCTAATAACAAGGCTAGTGGATCTGATGGGGTCATCTATGAGACGCTGAGAGCTACCAGGCCCACGTCAACACAGACACTCACACACATCTTCAATGCCTGCCGGATCAATGAGAAGGTGCCTGCTTCGTGGAAGGGGCCCTCATTCACAGGATACCAAAAAAGGAAAATGTCCCAGATGATCCTTCCACTTGGCGTGACATTTCACTATTGCCCCACTATATACAAAGTCTTTATGAAGTGCCTACTCACCCGCATCTTACCCTGGCTGGTGGACACAGGGATTCTCTCCCCCCATCAGAAAGCATATATCAACAGACAGGGAATGAACGAACATGTGTTTTGCTTAAAAACCGGAATAGATGATTTCAAACATGGATCATCTAAATTCTACACAGTGTTTTTGGACTTTAGAGACGCGTTTGGTACACTCTCCCATGAGGTGATGCTAAAAGCATTAGAGGAAATACACCTGCCTCAGCCTTTTGTGAATGTGGTATCCAATGTCTCACACTCAGTGTTTAAGAACGCCGCTGTTGGTGAGGATGTTCTGACATTTACCATCAAAGCAAGACTGCAGGTATTACCCACTAAGTACAATCTGTCCACCTGGTACCCTCACATTCACACTCCATTCTGTTTAAAACCACCAGGATTCACAACAACACAGAGATCCATTGCACACATAACAAATGGATGTAATGCATACAAACGCCTGTACATAGCCAGTCATGACCGTATTGTGGACATTGTGTCTGATGCGGTACAAAACATCTTACCATCGAGCGCAGCAATGTACAAAGCACACTAGAGTGTTACCAGAATGGTTTGGCTTTACCAATGATGTCTTTGCTAACATCCCAAATACACCTGATGTTGTTTTTGTTGACACCAACCACAGGGAGGTGCTAATATTAGAAGTAGGCTGTGCCTTTGACCTGTACATGGACCAGGCTTTCCAGGACAAGTATATCAAATACCAACCACTGCTCCATGTCATAACCAGCTTTGGGTACAAGTGTAGATATAGCATACTCATATTCGGAAGTCTTGGCCATGTATATAAATGAGAATGAGAATTGCTGGAATGTCAAAGAGAAAAGCCAAACAAATTGCCAAATATTGCTCTGTTTCAGCTATTATTGGCAGCTTAGCCGTGTGGAGAAGGAGATGCTATGTGTTCCCTTAAGGCTGCTGCTTAGCCGTGTGGACAGACCCGGCGCCAGAACAAATCTAAAGGGAGGGCATATGATTTTCATGGGAGGGCACACAAAACCGTCATGTGCTGCGGGCCTGCGGCACAATATATATCAAACAGCAAGGCCAACTCTGCATCTTTGTGCAGCGTATACTCAAACAGCGATAGGAAGAGCCCACTGCCTGACTCGGACATGCTGTGGAGTGAATCGTGGTCACCTCTGAGAGGGAGTTGGTTGACAGCTAAAAAAGCTATAATATCAACAACAGCTGACACGTAATAACGGTTCCGTGCCAGCTGATCTGTGTGCACCAAAGTACTAATTTCCTTATTTGTTTCCTCGCGTATCTGTCTCTCTCTCCACAAACTCTCACATGAAATGTGTTCTTTTGATGCGGCATGTCTTAGCAGTCCTTTATCAGTCTGTAATGCGGGTTTCCAGTCGCAAAAACCTTTGACAGTAAAAGCCGCATCAGATGAAGACGTATTTACTTTAAACTGTCTACAGGGGAAACAAAAGGCTGCGTCTGCTTTTAGCGAATATTCAAGCTATGGTCTGTTGTACCATGCAGTGGCAACAGTGTGCTTCTTTCCTGAAAACAATCTCCCTGGATAACGATCCAGTTTCACCTGGTTGGGTTTATTAACCCCAAGATCATCTGGGGCTGTTGGTCTTTGAGCGTACCAATAGTACCTGTTGATGTGCTGCAAGATAGCGTCTGTAGTGGAGGCACAAGCACGGAGGAGGAGGATGCTGGCGGGTGTGGTACAGGGTGTGGCAACGCAGGTGGGGATGGTAGGGAGACAAGGAGCTGTGCCTCGGAGGACAGCGTTGGTGGCGCCCGCCTTGATGAGTCAAGGATTGGGCTCGCTAACTCAGCCCCGGGGTTTGCCGAGGTCAAGCTTGTGCTGCTGCAACGGCAGGTGCAGGGTCGCCAGCAGCACCATCGGCTGCAGTTCTTTCATCGCTATTTAGTTTTAATAAATCTTTAGACCTTTTAAGCCAATTTCTGATGTCCATTTTGTAATTCAAACAGAAATGGGAGTCTACAGAAATGCACAATAACAATAACAAATCCAGAATAGGCGGAGTGTGACGCTGTGATTGGTCTAAATGTGGACGAATCACAAATCACAACAGACACATGAATTTATTTGACGTAGCCTGCGATTTTTTTTTTTAGTTACTATCTGACATCACATACATCGTAGCATAAAAGTTCACAGTTAATTTATAATTAAAAAAATAAAGATCTTTTAAAAAAAATAAATTGATAAATAATAAAAAACTTGTTTATTGGGGGAGGGCAGGAATGTCAAATGGGAGGGCCTGGCCCTCCCTGGCCCTCCCACGGCGCCGGGCATGCGTGTGGAGAAGGAGATGCTATGTGTTCCCTTAAGGCTGCTGCTTAGCCGTGTGGAGAAGGAGATGCTATGTGTTCCCTTAAGGCTGCTGCTTAGCCGTGTGGAGAAGGAGATGCTATGTGTTCCCCTAAGTGTTTCCTGTGCTGCTTAGCCCCGTATATTTGATTCCCTGTCTTATGTAATATAATTTGTGGAACCAAATAAAGTATTAAAATGTGTGTGTGTGTGTGTGTGTGTGTGTGTGTGTGTGTGTGTGTGTGTGTGTGTGTGTGTGTGTGTGTGTGTGTGTGTGTGTGTGTGAGAGAGAGTGTGTGTCTGTTGTGTTTGTGAGAGAGAGAGAGAGAGAGAGAGAGAGAGAGAGAGGAGAAGAGAGAGGAGAGAGAGAGAGAGAGAGAGAGGAGAGAGAGAGAGAGAGAGGAGAGAGAGAGAGGAGAGAGAGCAGAAATGAACAGTTAGAACTGAATGCTGTCAGTTGGAGTGATGACATCATCGTGTTCCATTACACAGGTGTTTATATTTGAGCTAACGAGCTCTGTAGAGATCAAAGGTTTGCATTGTTCTGGATGAGAGATAAACCTGTTACATGTGAACGTTTTGTGGAAGAACGATAACAGATATCTGTGAAATTTCAAAACGTTAAGCATGTCAAGGAAGTTGAGTATCTGAAGTGTAATTTTTGTGTACTTTCGGGTTAATAATGTGGCCTTTTTGGCAGTTTAACTAAAGGTGTGCGGCTGCTGCTGTGAGGAAATATCAGCCGGAAATTACAATGGGTTTTAATGGAGACATGTTGAAAGTTTTTGTCACTTCATGCCCTCAAGAGGCATTTTGTTTAATTATTTTTGCTTAATTATTTGTCATTTTTCAAGCTACGAGATGTTTTCCTATGTTTGTCATGAAAGATTATGTCTCAGGAATGTAGGGTTTGGGAATTATGGCAGTTTAAAAAAAAATATAAAAAGGCAAATTTCAAGATTTCCTACCCTCTAGCTGTGACATCACGCACTCTAGTTAATGTTAAAATCTGAAGAAAGCCTCTTTACCAAGGTCTGAACAATGTTTAATATCTCTAAAAGTAAGAATCAGATTTAAAAGTTGTGTTACACGAATAATGTCAGAAAGATGTGTAACATTTTAAAGTTGGAATGAGGTTTCTGAGTGAAAGTATGAATGAACAGTTACCAGTTGAAGTCGCATGAAGATTGTTCAAGTCTGAAGATTTCCTCCATTGACTTCAATGGTTAAAAATGGGATGTATTATGGGATGTATCTCTGGAATTATTTAAGTTATGAATAATACAAATAATAGCCATCGATTCCCGACCGAGCTGAACGCTTTGATGTTTGAACGGAGTTTCTGCGATGTTGAATGCAGGAGGAGAAGAGGTGCAAACTTCCGGCGGAATAATAAAAAATGTGTCCGTAGAAGAACATTTAGTGGGAATGCTGTATCAGCCCCTCCAAGCCTCAGCTCTGCCTCCTGAACTCAGTGTGCATCAGTCCCATTCAACATCCTGAGACTGAGTCAGCAGCTAACCTACACTGTGGAAAACAGCCGGGGTCTATCCATGACTCCCCCCTCCTGAGATATCTGACAGTTCGGCAGGACAAACCTCATTCCTAACAGAATTGTCCGTTTCCTCGGAAAACGTAGCACTCAAGGACTCACTGCCATTTCAGAGCCCACTCAATCAATCAATCAATGTTTATTTATATAGCCCAATATCACAAATGTTACATTTGTCTCAGTGGACTTCACAGTTTGTACAGAATATCAGTATGACAATACGACACCCTCTGTCCTTAGACCCTCACATCGTACAAGGAAACACTTCCAAAAAAAAGGAAAAACCCCACAGTTTAAAGGGAAAAAATGGGAGAAACCTCAGGGAGAGCAACAGAGGAGGGCTCCCTCTCCCAGGACGGACAGACGTGCAATAGATGCCGTGTGTAAATTGAAAAGATAATACATTTACAACATAGGTAGTCCAAATGTTTGGAAATGCATGTGTCTGTAATAAGAAGATGAATCCACGAGGATATCCATCCAGGACTTATGATCCAGGACCACAGCAGCAGGCACAGCCACGACTCAAGATCCAGGGCTCGCGATCCAGGACTCAGGACCACAGCAACAGGATCAGCCACGACTCAAGATCCCGGCGTAGATAGACACCAAAAATACATGTGGGGAAGCTGGGTTATTGGGAACATGAGAGTACACAGGTACAGACAGAGAGAAGGAAGAAGTAAAGTGTCCCCCGACAAACTAAGCCTATAGCAGCAAAACTAGGGGCTGAATCTAATCAGCCCTAACTATAAGCTTTATCAAAAAGGAAGGTCTTAAGCGCACTCTTAAAAACAGATAGGCTGTCTGCGCCCTGTCTTCCAAACTGGAAGCTGATTCCACAAATGTGGAGCTTGATAAGAAAAGGCTCTGGCTCCCATTGTACTTTTAGAGACTCTAGGAACAACCAACAACCCTGCATTCTTGGAACGCAATGCCCTAGTAGGACAGTAGGGTATAATGAGTTCTTTAAGGTAAGATGGCGCCTTCCCATTAAGGGCTTTGTAGGCGAGAAGAAGAATTTTAAATTCTATCCTGTGTTCTAAAGGGAACCCACTGATGACTTTCTGGTCATTCCTCTGATCCATCCCCTCCCCAACACCCACTTGTATTACATATCTCCAATGTCCCACCAGGTGAAACTCGTTAATATAGCATTGGTGGTTCAGTGGTATAATTCTCACCTGGACCCCCGGGTCCAATTCCCAGCCAGTGCAGCAGAGTGTTTTACTGCCGCAGTCTGTACTCAACCGAGTGAACAACTGAGGTGAATTTCTCCTTAGGGAGGAAATAAAGCGTCTTCTCCTTCTTAATAACATCGGCTGGCGCATCATAAGGACGTTGGATAGTGTCAGTGCGGCCGGACTCTCAAAGCACAGCAGTCTCTTTTCCTAAGTCCTGATGAATCCTCCTATCATTAACCCCAATATGTTTCACAGAGGTTAAGGAATAGTGGTTAGGGAGAGACGAAAGGCGATATATTTTGGACAATTTTACCAAAACCCAAACTTCCTAATCCAGGAAAGGTAATTGTCTTCCTAAAATGCTGATCAATAAAGGTTTTACTACCCCTCACCTGGACCCTGACCCCTCTGCTTTCAGGGGTACCTCAGCCCCAACACCATGTGGAGGTGATGGTTCTCTGAGGGGGATATCAGGAGTCTAAACACATGATGCATGGCTGTGAAAACAAAAATCACTTTTGGTACACTCCCTTTTTTAAAGACCTACCTGTAGGGTCTGATGGGATGTTTGATAATTTTTCTTTTAGATCATTCTGATTGATCTCCCCCAAAACTTCTCTGGTCACTTTAATGGTGTGTATGCGGTAGTGCAGAAACATCAGATTCACTGTGTCCATCCGGTCTGCTTCCTCTAGTCGACTCTTTGGGATTCCTGGGAGTTCTAGGACCTCCTCCTGCAGGTGCCACTTGAATCCTTTAAAGTCCTTTTCCAACAAACTTTCTAAAGTTCTTAATAGGACTTTTCTAGGTGTCTCCATCTTTTTTCCCTGAAGAGCAAAGATACCAAGAATGAACATCTTTATCTTACAGAACAATATGTTGTTGTATTGTATTTTTGTACTTTAACCCTAACAGGCCTTCGGGATCCAAAGAACAGCCGCCATGTGACTTTGGATGGCTTCAATTCAGAGGTCGAGTTAGCAAATGCCCTAATCGGTTCTGAACTTGTTTTTAATACCTTAGACTTCACGAAAGACATTCAGGAAGTCAATCCTAAACTGGAAGACAGTCAGCACAGTGAGTTCTGTCTTTTCCTTTAATGTCTTGGTTTGGTAACCTGACGTTAAAGAGCAGAAACTGTCTCAGTCAGATCATAAAGTGGTCTAGCAGACTGACTGGTGAGTCTCAGCTAAACCTGGAGCCCCTGCTCATCAGACAGTTACAGAGGCTGTCTAACTCCATGTTTAATGAAGACTCCCACCCCCTGCAACCTGAATTTCAGCTTCTTCCTTCGGGCCGGAGGTTAAAACCTGTTAAACCCCATCCCCCCGCCCCCGGGGCGGAAAAAACCATAATCTGCAGAAACAGCGTCTGAGGGATTCTTAATATTTAAATCAGTCACAACTTGTTAGAGCGGGTTCTGACACGCCCTGCATTTTTCTCTGATGACGAGAACTCAGAGAACAATCAGACTGCAACTCATTCTACCTGAAACACTGACAACAGTACATGGAGATCTTTCTAAACCCATTCTGCTTTCACTCAGAGAGAAACCCTACACAATATTTCAGACAGATGTTTAGAATCAGCATCAAGAAACATGTGTCCTGTTCAAAATTGAGCAAGGGGGGCCAGAGATAGGTGAAATCCACCCAAATGACCCCAGAAGTGTTTTTTTTTTTTGCTAAACCTCTCTAAAAAGGTCAAATGTCACTTGTGTTGCATCAATCTTGATACAGGGTACTTATTATATGTTGTACTTTGGATTCCTAAAGCTTTTAGTCTACTAACCCATCATCCAAGGGTAGTTTTCACTATAAGTAAAAAATAATTGTTGGACGGACACTATAATTTACAGTTTTTTACTATGTTCAATCTGAATTTTCTTTAAAATAAACACATCTATATTGATTCTGACTTTTCTACATCCAACTCACAGGTTTATCATTACTTTGAGAATAAAGATTATTAATTTAACCATTTCAGAAGGGAAGATATGGTCATTTGTTCTGGGAATGTCATTTTCGAGTCTGAGACCTGAAAAACAGGCTCAGGGCTTAACAGGTTAATCTTCCTAAGGTGTAGAAACCAAGAGGTTTAAAAACAGCTTTCTGGATGTTCTGGAGCCAGAGAGACTTTTTAAAGATGTGTCTGTTGTCTATATTGTATGAAGCATGTGGCACAATGGATACCTTTTCTTACTTCTGCAAACCAAGTTGACCTACTGGTACAAATAAGTACCATGAGAGAAATAAGAGAGTGACTCAGCCGGCGACCACACACCTGGTTCTGGTCTCTGGCAGTAAGCTGGTTACTGGACACAGAGCTGGGTCCAGCTCCAGCTCCAGCTCCAGCTCCAGCTCCAGCTCCAGCTCCAGCTCCAGCTCCAGCAGAATGAGGTATTTGCTCTGGGCTTGAACACAACACACAGAGCTATGAGTGAATAATGAGTGCTGAGCTGTGACATGGAGAAGAGTGATGGACAGGTGGTGATCTCACCTCTGAGCTTTGGTCTGGCTGTCATGTTCCCCAGAGCTTTTAGAGGGGGGGGCTTCCTCCTCTCTGTCCTCACACTGATCCATAGCAGAGCCCCCACCTGCACACACAAACAGTCACTTCAATGTACATCCACAGGTAATGTACAGCCCAGCCCCCCCACAAAATATCCCACACAACTGAACTGCGCTCAGTAACCATTCAACAAAACTTCTTTGTTAGGTTTAGAAAATATATAATTGTTTGGCTTAAAATATGTACGTTAATTACATGAAAGCAGTTACGGACTTTAATTAAAACGAGGTCTTTTGTGAACTGATAAGAAATGTGTTTTTGATATATCATTGAAAATAGGAAAAACAAGTTCCCTGATAACTAAGTTACAATGAGGTTCAAATCTAGGGGAAGAATATTTTTGAAGTTTGATATAATCTCCCATTTACTTTTCATGCTAATTTTTTGTATAGCCCAACATATATATCAAAACATGTACTGTTATATATGTTTTTCGAATTCGGGCAATCTAGTCCCAGATGTATAATCTAAAACTTAAAAAAAACATTTGACATTTTCAAGGCTCTTCAGTGAAACCAGGTCAGTGTTGGAAGACGGGCCCTTCACACTCCTTCCCTTATTCAGAGTATTAAGAGTTAGACATAAAAACAGTCACGACTTGTTAGAGCGGGTTCTGACACGCCCTGCATTTTGCTCTGATGACGAGAACTCAGAGAACAATCAGACTGCAACTCATTCTACCTGAAACACTGACAACAGTACATGGAGATCTTTCTAAACTCATTCTGCTTTCACTCAGGTAGAAACCCTACACAATATTTCAGACAGATGTTTAGAATCAGCATCAAGAAACATGTGTCCTGTCCAGTGTTGGGCAAGTTAAATGTAATACAGTACATATTACTTATTACTGTCTCTTTTAAGTAATAAGTTACATTACAATATTACTGTCTCCGAAATGTAATGAGTCACACTACTTTTGTCACACTACCAGCTGCTCTTGCAGTAACAAGTAGCACCTTTCTTACTGTCCTAATGTGCCTAATGTGACACGTTGTTAATACAGTAGTACAGACAGTTCGGAGTTTACTGAAGAGTTTAGTGTGTGTTTCAAGAGTTTACTGTGTGTGTGAAGAGTTGAGTGTGTGTGTGTGTGCAGAGTTGAGTGTGTGTGTGCAGTGTGTGAAGAGTTTAGTGTGTGTGTGAATAGTTTAGTGTGTGGGAGGCGTGTGGTGCAGTGAGAGGCTGTCTTTAACATACTGTCATTCCTTCCTTCATTTCCTATCATACTATCATACATAAATACAGAATAATAACCTATATAAGAGGGAATAGTATTTCATGTTAATAACAATAGTCATATATGTAAAACAGAATAGCAGTGAATGAAAGGCCGAATAATAGCTTATATAAGAGGTAATAATAGTTCATGTGAATGACTATAGGTATGTGTATAAAACAGAATGATAGGGTGTGTGCATAAGAATAGTTATGAGTGTGAGAGAGTATGATTGAAAAGGAAGTGAGTTTGATTGAAAAGGAAGTTGGACTAAATTCTCAGTTCCTGATTGGCTCTACGTTTTTCGTCTGACGGACACCGCCCAAGAAAGGCAGTAGAATCTTTATATATACAGTCTATGAGTAGAATGCTACTAATTTTCTATATGCAACCTGAAGAGTAAAAGGGTCAAGTCCGTCAGAAAGCAATGACTGTAAGTGTAAGTGTAAGCCTTACACTTACCCTGTAAGGATTAGTAACATGTATTGTGTTTATGTGATGACATTTGGAGATGTTTAAACTCAATAGACGCGTTCACACCGGAGTACTTTTCACCGTACTTTTCGCATTTAGTTCCATTAGTACCCCTTATGTCGCGTTCACACCAAAAAGAGCACTTAATCTCGGGAACTTTTACCCCCATTTTTAGTGCCTGCTGAGAGATCGTACTTTCCTTGGGGAAAAAAGTGCCCCAGTTCTGATTGGCTGGGCGAATTGCAAACCGCGCCCCGTAAAACTCTGAAATGTTTTGTAGAGCCGCCATTTTATTTGCTCGCTACATAAACCCAGCGCACCAACGGAGAGTAGTTTGTTTTGAAAGCAGTTATGGCAAGCATCAATAAATCATCGGAGCAGTGGAGTGATGAGGAGGTGTCGGCGCTTCTGGAAATCTACGCCGAGGACGCGACCCAGGGAATGCTACTGAAGCCAGTACCCAACTCCAAAATGTTCGAGCGTTGTTCGAAAAAGTTACTCGAGCTGGGAATCGTGCACAGCGCCACGGCACGCCGGCTAAAAATAAAGAAACTCAGGTAGGACTACAAACAAATTAAAGACTATTATAACAAGAGTGGTAACGACCGGAAGACCAGTAAATGGTACGAGTGCTTGGATGCTCTGCTAGGCCACAGACCTTTCTCCGGCACAGCATCGACCTTCGATTTGGGCACGATGGTGTGGGAGGCCGCCGCTCAAACGGCGGATTCAGTGGCCAACGACCACGACCACGACGAAGGTAAAATCAATGCTTTTGCGAGCACAAACTAGAGGGGAACAGCAAACACCAGTGTGATTTTGGTGACAGTGTGACTGTCCTGGACAAAGTTGTAGGGGGGGTGCCATATCTGGCAGGAGAAATACCTGCTCTGCTGAACATGTTATGTAGAGAACAGTGCAGATCTTCCCTATTGACACCAGGAAAAACCTAGTCTAAAATAAGGAACATTAATAGTGTGATATAGGCACTAATCAATAATAAACTTTATTTTAGGGCACCTTTCAAAACATTCAATGTCACCTTAAAATAAAATAAAAAATAAAATATGAGTGGCATTACAATACAAAAATGTGTTGAGTAGGAAACCACAGAGGAAGATTACATTCAAAGGAGCAATTAAAGCGAGTGGAGCTAGTTTGAACAAATGTGCACACAGTTCTGCTGGTAATGACTATTACATTTTATGAGGAAACTTTTCCACCAATAATTCCCATAAGTATTCCAAAATGTATTCACTTCAGGTTTACGAAAGTAACTGTAATCAGATTACTCGTTTTTCAAATATAACGCGAGCTGAATACAGTTACTTGATTTTTGTATTCTGCTTGAGCGCCACGGTCTCTGAACAAATGAGACACACTGGTTCTGTGCTCCCAGTGGACAGGATGAACATGAATGAGTCCGCCTGTTGCTGACCCCTGCTCTAGGGGGGTCCGGGGGTATGCCCTCCCCGGAAAGATTTGTTTTAACATTTTAAAGTAAAATGCTTCAATCTGGTGCACTTTGAGCAGAATGACTAGAGACTAGATCTAGGGGGTACAACTCTAAACACCCATTTGAAAAAGAGCGGTTTACATTTTAATAATCAAATAAGTATGTGAACATAACCAATAACCCATAGCCAATAACAAATAAATGTAACGTATTTTATTTTTTGTTGTTCATTCATATCTTATTTTACCTAGTTAACATTTATTTATTCATGCATATTTTTGAATATCTCCAGTTTTAAACGATATTTTTGGTTTACTGTCTATAGTATATGGAATGATTTCAAACCTGTTGTTATTTATCCTAATAATTATAAAGGTGTGCTTAAATTGTGACCAAACCGTTTGAGACTCACTGAGATAACTTAGACTAAAGTGAACTATCTAAACCAGGGGTCGGCAACCCCTGGCACGCGTGCCAGCATTGGCACGCGGCACCGTAGCCAGTGGCACACTAGGAATAAGTCGAATAAGTGTGCAAAATATTTAAATTGTATTTTCGGATCCTGAACGAGACCGCCGCCAGAGCGCGTCTCCCCGTTACCTGCAGAAGGAAGCCATGCACGCAACGCAGCCCCGCTCTCTTTAACTCCAGGTGACTTTCTGCCGCTTTCCTCCGTGGTGCAGTGCTGATCGTTTCACCACGGAAGAAAGCACTTCACAAATTGCAGTACCCATAAGGAGCTTTACAAATGTCGCAGTTTTTGCGTGGCTGTGTGTGTCTTTAGTTGAAAGCCCAGTGGCGATCTGCTCATCTCTCATTGAAATAATATGCTACAAAGGGGCGGACTGGCCATCTGTGTGTTGAACTTTCCTGTCGGCTCCCAGACCGTAGTCGAGGAGGGCAGAAGCAACGAGCTTCAGGTTCAATAACCCACTTTAGCTTAAATGACTGGAGAGAGGCGAGCTCTTCTTGAGAGGCCGTTGCATTTATTTAGCTGTTCTTCTGTTTCACAAAATACATCACAGACCTCTGTTTTTCTGCTGCCTCGTTTCACTTCCAGAAACATACTCACACGCACACGCCACACCCCTCTCTCTCTCTCTTAAAGGGACAGCGATCTCATCTCACTCTGCATGACCCTAATATCATAACATGTGTGTTCTGGAGAATCACAGAACGGACGATCGTCCTTATTATTATGCCGTTTAAACCAATTATTTAAATGTGTTTGTTAAATTCGGTATCATGTAAGTTGCGCTGACAGGTCCACACACTGCTTCCCCGCAGCGAGGCCCCCCCGCCCTCCTGTTGGTAGATCACGAGCGTCAAGCTCCTCAACATCCTCAACCCCCCCCCCCCCCCCGTTGATAATTCTCGATCGTTGGCACGCTGATAATATTTTTTTTTTAAATGGCACTTCATATCAAAAAGGTTGCCGACCCCTGATCTAAACCCTCAGAGTCCTTTACCTCACTGAGCTGTAGTTATCAGCCTCAATCCAACAACAATCCGCGGTACCGATGCATGCGCGCCCTCTCTCTCTCTCTCTTGCTCGCTCGGAGGCTCGCTCGCACTTTGGCTGTGAGCTGCGGGCGCCTGATAAGTCAACATCCCCCACTTTCATCACTTACAGCGCACATCGTACAGGGCAAATGTTGCCGGCCCGGGGTGCAAAGGGTGTTTACTTTATCCAATTATTAATGTAAATGTATTACATCAAGGGCAGACAATTAGGCAGAATAAAATTTTTTAATTAATTAAAAAAAAAAAAATGCTACCTGTCACGCTCCATGTTTGTTCCTGAGGTTTTTTGTCCTGATCCTTCCTCGCACTCCCCGGGTTTTGGTATGTTAAGTTGTTCCTTGTTTTCTATAAA